TGAGTCGCGTCCTGTTCTCATCTTTTTCTGATTTTAATGAAACAGAAGCAATTTAAGTGCTGAAACCTGCTCTTGGCCATGCCTTGCAGTGGTTTATTGAGCTGGGTTCTATGCAGCGTTGAAGTTCAAAATGGTTCATCTTCTTAGGAACCTTGTTGCCCAACATCCCACCTAGTGAGCGGGCACCAGCTGAGATTATCTTGGGCACATTTAAATACCTACTGGAGGAATTCTGGTTCTTCATAACCCCAGGCAGGCAACTGGGGATCAGTCACAACTGGCACCTAAGGCTGGCAGAATGAAGCTAGGCACTGCTGGATGTTTAGTTTGGATTTTGTTCTATTTCACTTTTAAAACTCCCATTTAAATTTTTATTTCCTTTTTGCTTTTTGTATCACCACTTCCAACACAATGTAGAATCCTTCTGCTGGCAAAGATACCAGAACAGTAGATTGCCTAACGGGGAGAGCATGGGTATGGGATCTTCATCACTTGGGGCTTTAAAGGCAAGTTAGACAGTGGGTGTTACAATTGTTGCCATTCCTGCTTTTAGCCAAGGGGACAAGCTCATTCCAGGCTTTTTTTCCCTCTGAACAATTCATATTCTTGTTTACATTTATTTTGGTTTTGTATCCTACAGAAGGCATGCAGAAGGTGAGTATTCTTTCTGGCTTAAGCTGATAAAGCAATGGATATTGCTTGACATAACAAGATCTTTGTTTAAACGTCAAATCCATGTCAACTAGCTAATGATATAAAACATCTTATTGCCAGCAGAGATGGAAAAGGATGAACTGCTTCCAAAGCTTTCACAGACCTTTTTGTAATAGCTCATCAACAAAAACTCTCATTCCAGGATGGGTCTTGAGTTTGTCCCCGGAATCGAACATCTGCCAAGTGCAGAGAAAGAGTTGAAAATGACTTTGGATTCACCTCCACTGGTGAGGGCTGGCCTTAGGCTCGAATTCCTCCCTTGAAGGTGGGTGGTTTCAGCATCTTCCTATTGCAGTGAGAAATATGAAAAGTGGCATATCACAGAAAAGCTTAAGAATGAAAGCAATGATTGCACTTTCATGGAAACAAATCAAACCCTTGGGCCACTTGCCCTATTCTCATCAAGTCCTCGTTTAACTTCTCTCTGTAGATTATTTAAAAGTAATTATGTTCTCTTGGAATGAACAGTTCCTGTTCACATTTGTGCTTTAGCCAATAATGTATCACAAGGATGTAGAATGGGTACCTGTCTGCCTGTGGACTCCTGTCCAGCTTTCTCTTTTCCTAATGCATGCACACCTATGGCAGCATCTGTCTTAATTTCTTTATTCGTTTTAACTAGTTACGTGCTGGAGAAGAGATGGAAGACAGCAGCTATGTGTACAGAAAGCATCCCAGAAATCACAAATTACTTGGGGAAACAGGGGAGCTTCAAAGATCTTCATGAGAACACCAGCTGCAGGCTGATTCATTGAACAGTCACTGGATGCTATCTCACTAGGATGTTACTTGGTGAAAATCTATTTTGAATGTCTGGTGGCGTCTTTGCGCTAATTTGGAATAGAAACTTTCAGCAGGGATTGTTAAAGTGCTATAGTGGCTATGCCAAACCAGACTAAATATTACTCTAGCCAAGAAATCTTTTGCCAGTAGCAAATGCCCATAGTAGAACCAGGACAAACATGTACTCCCCTGTATACTTCTCCCAGTGATTCCAGTGACATTACCAAAAGCAGTGAGTTTTAGGGGAAGCTGTTAACACACTGCTTTACAGGATTTATCTCATGTGATAGTGCAGATTCCAGACTTGGGGAACATCACATAAATACAGACTATGAATTTCTGACTGTCAGGCAAGACTTCAGCACAGTGAAAGGTGAATTTGCATGGTCATTTTCATCTTTCTTAAGTGAAACTTCCCACTGAAAGGGAAGCTGACTCCAAATAAACTCTGGATGTTATAAAAGATACAAACAGGATGTTAGTGGCTTACTTGTTTATGTCCTCTTTATTAACTGGTTTCTGGTTGAGGGTACACATGCTCTCACTTTTGCTAACTGATGAAAACACTTGAAGCAACAGGTATGTATAGTAAGAATTTGGATTTAAAGTAGTGCTGGTTGACTGTAAAGTGCAAATATTTTTAGTAGGACAGTCTGATAAAAACAGATGCACATGTTGTTTAGTTAACTTCGATTAGAGATGTTAATACTTATTTTAGTAAAATTCAAATGCAATTTGAATCATTTTAGTAAAATGACACCATCTTACCGAAGCTGCGGAATGTATAAGGAAATATCAGAATGTGCTTTGCATTTAAAACTGATTATATTGTTAAGATGAAATTCACCTCATATGTAACTGTACAGCCTCTCAGATTTTAGAACTCACAGGTCTTAGCTTCTCATACTTAATTCTTACTCGCAGTTTGGAAAGTAAAAGCAGTCCAGTGGTCTTCTCAGTGCTAATACTGAATTATGGACTTTCCTATTCTTGTAGAAGGCAGAGCTGTCAAACGGCCTGAATAATTTCACCAAAATGTACTTGGTACTTAATCATTTACTTCCTTCACCCACTTCTATCTTCAAAACTTTTGCTGCAAGCATGTACTAAGTGGCTTCTTGTTTACACTTCTTATGCTATATGTTGGCCTTATTACAAAGTGTCAATTTCAGTTAGCTTAATTTTTCAGACAAAAGCTGTTATATTAAAAAGCAAAGTACTGGATTATAAAATAGATCTGAGATGTGAGGCAGGGTTATTTGGGAGCTGTGTGAAAGAAAACGTAAGCAAAGTGGTTAAAACTTGGTACATGGGCGTTTTTTGTGTGATTGTATATCCAGAGGGGACTATTTCCAACTAGAATGACCAGCAACAGTCACAGTAAATGCAAAGAAAAATACCTTAATTTCCCAGTGGATATAAATCTGAATAAACATGACTTTTTTTCCTGATGTCTTTGGGACAGCAGACAAGGATGTTTCTCCTTTCCAAAGGAAAAATATTATTGCTTTGAATCACTGCACAAAAATGCAACTACATTTTATACCTGAAATACTACACTAGGAATGTCAGTGAAATTACGCTGTCACTGTCAACATTAATGGTTTTAGAAAACAAAGATTTAAGACATCAGACTTTAAAAGGGAAAAACAGGTTTATTTCATGCAGTTTACAATACACTAGTGTTATGAAAAGGAGGTTAAAAAAATATCCACACATATTTTAGTTGTATGTTTGTTTTAAAAATGATGGTTAACTGTAACCACCTTCAAATGATTTGGGAAGCCCTAGCAGTTTTTTATCCAGGGAAATTCCATGGATTCAGTTTCTTGTCTATGTCTGTGCTAAGAGTTCTGGCTAATGCAAAAGCATTAAAACCAGATCAAAACTCAAACTTTGCTGCAGTAAGAACACTTCAGAGATAATGAATTGGCACGAAATAAAGTGTTATTGCTAATCCACTATCCAGGAAATAACGTTGCAAGTATGGCCACTTGGATATTAACACAAACAGCTGATGCACAGCTAATGTTGAGACCAGTGACTCTGGAGGAGAAGAGTTTAAAAAAACAAATAACATCTGCAGAATTGGGTAGGTGGGCTTAGAGAGTCCATGGGAAATAGCTCTCCCATAGGAAGGCTCAGATGAGGCTTAGGATGGAAGCAGGTGGAAATAGTTGCCATTTGAGGCTCCTTCAGTTTGGTGACCTTGTTTTAGTTTCAGGTAGAAACCTTGTTGAAACCTTGTTTCAGTTTCAGGTAGACAGGCTGCAACATCTCTCTTACAGTGCCTTGGCACTCGCTTCATCCTAGCAAGTACACGAGCCAAGTTAAGTTTGAGTAAAGCTATTCATAAGCTTTTGGAAAATCCTCAGAAGGAGCAAGAATCATGCACATAAATACATTAACTCTTAACATTTCAGATGTCCAGACCTGGAAATCTCAACAAGTGCCAGGTCAGGTCAAAATTTAGGCTCAGCTTTCTAAGGTCTCTTTACCCCCAAAGTAGCAAAATAACTTTCTGAAAGGTCTCTCTCATTATAGCAGTTATTAACACACAACATCCTAAAAAGAACCCTTTGATGGGCCCAGAAAACTATGTTTGCAGCAGTATCTATTCACAGGACCTTTGAGTTTATGCCTCAGCAGACCTTGCTAAAGTAAAGGGCAGCTAAGCTGCAATGCAGTATTCAGCAACGATTTCCTGGGGCAGAATCATCTCAAGGTCTCCGTCACCAGTGCTGTTCATGACAGTTGTCAGATTTCAGCACGGGCGATAACAAAGTGCTGGGCAAGTGTACTGTCTTCTCTGACCAACCTGGATACTGAAATTCCAAACCATACATGAACACTTATATCTGCAACTGCTTCAGCCATTTGTAATGATTTTGGAGTCTGTGAGTTGAAAGAAAACCAGAGCAGCTGCTTTTTAAATGTTATGTGTCTCCGGAACTTCAGATTAGCCCTGGAAAGGATTTTAGCCCTTAGCATTTCTGCACTGAAAATGGAAAGAGTTCCTCTATCTGACACTCATTTAAGAAAACTGAACAGTAAGATCTACTTAGCCCTTTAAAGCCTCAGTTCAGTAAGAAGCCTTTAAAGACAGATCCTGATTGTTGTGAGCCAAAGGAAAGTTATATGCCACTGATTTCAGAGAGCCTTCCACCTCTCTTTTTTTAAACTGAATATTTACACTATTTTAAGAATCTATAATTCTACAACACAAACCCAGGTAAGATCCTGACATTGTCCTTCAAGCTGGAAATAACTGCAGTTTCAGCTGTAATGAAGCAACAGGCAGAATTCTCAGCCCGTATGTATTTCAAAATTGTTGTGTTAGAAAAGACAACTGTCCCATGACCACAGCAGGGTTAAGCCAGGAAGTTTTACTCCTCCCGTCCTGAGCTACCAGGTACTTTTAAAGGTGTAACAAAATCTCCTCTCTTTGCAAGTGCCCCACCTTTCAGGGCTGATTGAAGAATTTAATTTGAAAAACTTGAGAAAGATGCTTTTGATGTGGTGAGAGAATAAAACAGGAGAGTGACACTTTCTGATTTTATCGCATCTCAAGTGGACAAGCTCTCTTTCACTTACTTTCATCTCCATGAAAAGCCCAGTACTTCACTTTTGTCTCAGTACTTCTGAAGGAATCTTTTCCAGTACACCTGCACGACTGGACAGTACGCATTATAATCCAGTTTCTAAGGTCATTTCATTCATCCAGATACTACTGCGGTTTTGCATTCCAAGCTCATTTTTTTAATACTAATAAAAATAGTAGTTTGTAATTAATGTATGTTAACTTGCTGGTGGTGGCTGTACAGCTCAAAAAGAGACTGACAACTCTTCACCAACAGGTATTCAAAGAGCAGGGTTCTGTCCTGAGCAGCAGTTCCCTCAGCACACCTGCAGTCAGGGGGTTTGCTTTATCTGCTAGACGTTTTTTCTCCTGAAAAGAAGGCCCAACCAATGAAACTCTCTCGGAGAAAGAGGAGACCGATTCAATTTTGGTACCTTCAGGAAACAGCCCTGTTTCTAATCAGCCATAACTGTGCATTCACATTGCTAGAAAGGGAGCAATACAGCTCCTGTAAGGAAAACTTGAAGAAAAAAAAAGGTGGATGGAGACTTTAAACTCAGTTTCTTAAAAAATATCTGTTACTAATGCTACAATGAAAGACAAAAGGAACCTTCATCATCACAAGAAACCTGAGTTTGGAAAAAAAAACACAGTAAATTGTCCAGATTTTTTGAGTATATGATTCTCAGGGATGAAAGTTTAGTAGAGAATTAATATAAACTCTTAAATACAATCAGGCCTTTGACAGACAATAAATTACTGCAGGATAACAAACTGCACATAATCCATGGTGACCCCACAGGAAATGAGGGGAAATTCCATGTAACCTCTTGTCTTTTGGTTAAAAAAAAAACATAAAATAATCTCTTTCACATTTACTATGTGAGCTGCCAGGTCAGACTATACTTTTGGACAGTTATTATGGGCCAGATGCCATTCACGTCTTGGAGGCCTCAGGATGACTCATTCATTGCAGATAAGCCCTGATTTGATTGCTGCTTGAAGAAGTCAAAAGCATTTAATACAAAAATGTCATCACCAGTACAGAAAACGAGCCTCTGATGAAGCTTACGGCCAACAGTATGCTACTCGTTTCCTTGCTTCTTCAAAGCAAGAAACTGCTATGGCAAATTTGAACCTCTCGTTTTTTAAACAAGTTTTGCAAGAAGTTTGTAACAGCCTTTAAGGAATTTCACTGAAAATGACGTGCTGAAGTAACCTCCTGTTCCATGGACAACACACCAAAGAACATCACTGAATATTCATATAGCAAAAGCCTAGAAAGTTAAATCACAGAATTTACATTTCCATCAGGGGTCACCCTGATTAATTGTTATGTTCTGGTATCTCTTCCTTCCTGCTTTATTTTCTTCTGCTATGATCTCTTTGTGCTCAGGATCTTAAATTCTAACCTAGAATACTGATTCAAGAATACAGGAGCTGTGTAAATCCAGAGTTCACATCACAGGCTTCCACAGTACATCTATGAACCCATCAGCTTTACATAGTCATAGGCAGTTCTCTTGAAGTAACTACTCTTCAAATGACAGAAAAGAAACAAAGGACTCCAGTTTAAGCTGTATCAGTACATCACCTCATCCTGCAAGATCTTAACAGATGAAGCAATGTTTACAAAACCTGGTGATGCAGACTGGACTCTCATGCAGTTACCTCGTTACTATAGCTAGCTTTATTTGAAATTACAATAGTCAAATAAAAGGAAACCAAACTTAGGGATTAATTCTTAATGCCTTGAAGAAGGCATATGGTAGCACTTCTATTGATCTGAAAGCTCTACATGTTCACAAAAATTAAAGCAATAATGACATTAGCAAGAACAAAAAAGTGGTTAGTTCAGGCGGTCTCAAACAGCATATTTAAATAATTTGCAGGATACCTGCCTATTAATTGTTTTCTTTTTCTTTCTTAACATCCTTGTGAGGTATTGGAAAGAAAGTGCAAAATGATTAGCCACTCATTTGCCCAAATTTGCTACAACAGGGACACAATATAAACTAGACTGCAGGTAATTTCACTGTAAAAGCATGTTTTTAAACTGAAAATACTCCAGTGGGAAAAAAAATACACCTAGAAAAGCCCACTCTTTTACATATTCTACATTTGTTCAGTTTGCTCAGTTTGTTACTCATGCTTTGCTGCTGTCATTCTGGAAAATTTCAGTGTACGAAAGAAAATATTCTGTCTCTTTTGGGTTAAATAAGAGAGACAACAGAAATGTTGATCCAGAAGGAGCACTGCAAAACAGGTATTTCAGGCATTAAAATCCACTTCAGCCAATGCCATATTACTCTGTAGAGCACATCAAGAAAACAACAAGAAACATGGTTGGCTGCAATTCCATGAGCTTGGGAGCTCAGAGAATTCAGTGGAGTCATACTGCTTAAAAACACGGTGACTACTGCAGCAGAGGAAATGTTTTTAATATGCAGTTAACACAGACAACTGTTATGCTTATTTTCAGATACACAAGATAATCTGTTACTATTTCGGGGAAATTTGAGTGCTCAATTCAAGCTGATAGAATATGGGTGCCTAAAAAAGTATAAAAGTATAAACATTTCCCCCTACACAATTACATTTTTAGTAAATTCAATTCAGTTTTAACATCTTAAAAAAAAAGACAAACACTTTCTGTGTTGTTGTGGAGGGGCCAGCAGCTTCCTGTGCAGACCACATCCAAGTTGAAAAATGCGTTACAAACTCTTTCAAGCATTAGACGCATGGACAAAACATTCAGCCCATTGCTTAATCTGCTTAGTAGAAATGGTTTTTACAAATCGTTTCTGCCAAACTTTTATCAATGTATAAGAAGTCCTTTAAAAAAAAAAAAAGGAACAAAAACTAAGCCAAACAAACAAACAAAAAACCCCAACCAACCAACCAGAATAACCACAAAAAAAGAAAAACCCAAACCATCTCAAAGAGCTAAGAGCCTGGCTGTTTGGAAATCAGGCATTTGTGTAAAGGATTACCTAGAGTAGACACCTAAATTCTGAAGTTACTGACAACGGAAACGGTAACACCTTTAGAATTCAAAACAATCTTGTAGCTTTTTGAAACTCCCACTGCTTTCATAAGTCAATGAAGCTGAGTTTTATACTATTTCATTAAGTGTTTTAAAGATGTGCTAAAGATTTTGCTTAAAACATAGTGTATTAAAAAGCTCCAGTCTTGTGTATTAACTTTCATCAAGGACAAACTAATAAAGCTGCACCAGCCATTTTCGGTGTCCTTTAACTGCATAGTTCAAACAGTATAGAAAGAGAAAGGTTGGTTACAGGTATCCTGAATGTCTGATGTATTTAAGCTTTTCAATGGGATGATTCTGTGTTCACACTCAAGGTTGACTTTAACCCCACTCGCAGAGAGAGGGATCTAGGACTAGAAAGCCGTATTTCTGTACAGCCTCCAGCTCTTGAAAAATGTCTATCACAATCCACAGAATTCATTGCTTATAGGCATTTCATGAAAGCACAAACACACATATGGGTACAAACATCTCAAAAGAAACAAAATGTTCAGTTGTTCATTTTCAGTGAATTTTGATTCCCTTTCCAAACATCTGGTTAAGACTGGAGCATAACTTTTGCAGGAAGAGACTGTTTCAACAGAAGGAACATCAAGAATAACTCAGATTAAGGCCATTTTCTGAGTTTAGTCTTCCCTTTGGGCATTAAAATATGCTATTAATCCAGTCAATATATACACCCTTCCTTCAGAGAAACCTCTTGTCTGCTGTGTAACTTTTTACATGCTAGTTTCAGTTGATCTCCTAGACTGTTATTACATTATAGAGTATGTCACAAAGCCATAAGGAATGTGCAGTATAACACAGTCAACTGGGGCTGCCACTGATTCTGAAACAATGTAGACCCCAAATATTTGCATTTGTGGGCTGTAATGTGTGTGTAGCACCAATTACATTGTCCTTTAAATGTTTGCAATGATTAGTAGGAAAATGTCTCCAAACTGATCAACATTGGGTCATCCAGCACCAGACATCAAGTGCTACATCTCTCAGAGGAAAATATGAGTGCATGGTCATTTCAAAAGACCAGTGTCTGTCAGCCCACAGGAGAGTACAACCATGCACTACAACCAAAACTTAACACACACTCCCACACCATCTATTCCCATAAGGTAATCTCGCAATGCTTTCAGCCAGCTGACACCAGCTTATAGGCAAAAATGGTTGAACCCAGATCAACAGAGTATTGTCTAAATCAGATTTTTTTTTCTTTTGCAGCCGGGCCTCTTCAGTGTGACAATTCACTGTGTCTTGGAATAAAAGAGAAAAAATTGTCACCATTCAATACTGTCTTCACATCCTGGAACCTCGCTCTTGCAAAATCTGAAACAGACCAATGAAAAGTCTATAAATGAAAATTCGTTTTAATGTCATTCCTAAAGCATGGAGGTCAAAGAGAATCATGACTGCTTCAAAAAACTGAGAGTGTCAGGGATCTGGTTCAAGGATATTCCTGAAGTCTGTGCTTTAAGGCTGAAAAAGACAGGTCGATAGATGCAACGTCCACTATCAAACATCATTAAAACAGATGTAAATCAAGGCTAAGAATTAAGTATGATTAATATAACCAAAGTTTAAGGATTGGTAGATGTAAAAAGTAAGCTATTTCACCTCAACCAACTACATTTCCTCACAGATTTTTACTACGCTATTCAGACAAAGGTTATCTGCTGGATTGACCAGCTATATAAAAATAACTACTACTATGGCAGCAGGGTTTAGATATTATTACATTATGTGCTCATGCAAGATCTCACAAGTTTTTTAGGCATCCTTGTCCACATGAAAGTTATTTCTGTTGACACAGGACACAGCACACTGAACTTTTCATGCACTACCTTGTCCATCATTATCCTCTGAAATGCTCAAGTCAGGCAGCTGACAGGCACTGCCAGCTCTCACTTGATAACTCTGTCTAAGGGATTTGATTCTCCCACTGTTACCAAGGAACTGAGATTCCCATTACAGTGAGTACAGGATCGGTTTTGGTTTGTTGTTTTCCTAAAAGCAGTTGGTTTGTTTAAAATTCACCTTAAAAGGCATATATTAAACATAGGGACTGAAATCTAACAGAAGCTAAATACCCACTCCTGAAAAAAACAGGAATCTTTGTCTAGGGCATTTTGCAACACGAAACCCATGTAATTCTACTTCCAGTGTGACCATTATTTTCCTTTTCTGCTTCAATTCTGCTTGGCTGTTGGCATAAGTATCCATGTCTTAGGAGTACTGACTGTCCAAGCAACGTTTCTCATGTTGCTGCTGTACACTGACTGGCAATCAGCAATAATGAGCTCAACTCTTGGGCTGTGTAGCACTATGGAACTGCATAAGCAAATTGTAGAACTGACCATGCCAGTAGCCAAATCAAGCACTACGAGAAGCTTCAAACATACTGAGCACAACTACTTGATAATGTTAACCTGTAAGTAAAAGTATCTCTAATTATACTTCATTTTCATTTGCTACTGGAAAGGACTGTTCATTTCAAAAGCTGCCAGGAAGCAAAGGCACAATCCCTGGACAATGGCATAGCTGTCTTCAATGTAGAATTTCCTTCTATGATGATTTCAGTGTAGTCTGATACAGTGTAGTGTGATCCTAGCACACAGTAGCACGTTCCATCCCAGGGGACACACAGAATCTGACAACACACAGAAACACTTCAGTCCTTGTGCTCGTAAGGTAAAAACGGGTGATCACTTAACACAGCAGAGCAGTTTCACATATGGTTTGAATTAGAAAACCATCTAGGTATTTGTTTTCTTTTTAATATTGTTAAAGCCTTGATAATTTAACCTATCAGCTTTTGTAGGTCATTGAACCTAATATGTCTTTCATAGTGTAGTCAAGTAGGGTCTCACCTCCTTTGCAGAACTCCATGGAACTGTTTAAGGACTGGAGTTCATAAAGAACTCATCGCCACCGGTGTGCCTCAGGGACAGTTTAGAGACAGGTCAGTGTAAGCTTAAAAACAGAAATAAATACTTCACTTTATCACCTGCTCACTGCACTTCCTGCAGTACCTGGATCTCCCTGTGCTCACCGAGGGCTTTCTCATTTCAAATTCAGTACTATTGAAGTTACGAAGCCATACGTCACTGCAGCTACTCTGATAAATCTCCAAAATACAGAAAAATGTTTTCAATGGGCCATGACATACTTTAGCGTGTTATTTAGATGTGAACATTGCTTATTTCATGAAGATAATTTACTATGTGCACTAAGCAAAAAGCATTTAATAGGAAACTAGTTAAGATAAAAGTGAATTATGTGAGAAAAAGCCAGGTCCTGAAAATTGCTCAGCCACTGCTAGTATAACACATTCAAAAGGGATTAGACAAGCTTACTGAAGGTAGTGACATTGGTACCTCCTCATGGGATCATAGTCATGGTAGCTTTCATACAATGATCTGCATACAGGCTTGAAGCTAAAATTCCTAAACTGAGGCTTACTGGAAGGTGGGGAAGTATACCAGGAGTTAATTTTATGAATGCTTCATACTTAAGCTCTTTTTTTGATTATTTGCTGTTACTCACAGCTGTGAACAAAGTGCTGGAGTAAATGCCCACATAGCAGGTAACAGCCTGACCCAGAAAAAGTATCCAGGAAGTTCATCTGCAACAGAGGCAAAACCACGGCTAATTAAGTACCTGTGCAGTCAGAAAATATTTTATCTATTAATTTTGTGAATCTGTTCAATTTGAAAAGAAACAATTGAGTTTATTCTTTCCTAGAAAATAAAAAGATAATTCCAAGATTAACAGAACTGTTTTCTACAGCTTCAGAACATGTACAACAAGAGAAAGCTAAGCCAGATCCGGCACTGAAATGTGAACACTTTACTGAGCCAGTAAACCCAACATGAAGTAGAAAATTTTGTAAGATCAGGCGACATTTTAATGCATTTTGATTGCTACTTCGTCTACGAGACCTACGTTTACAACAGGAGAAACAACTTCTGATCAGCAAACTCTCAGGAGAGGTGTTCAGAAACTGTGTGAAAGGATCCTTTCTAGTCATGGGCAGTGACTTTGTCCAAAGAAGAAATACAAAAATCGTACTTACTTATTAATCACAGGAAGACTGACTCTGCTGCAATTTGAAATTAATCTTTTATTTTTATTTATTTTTCTCTCCTGAAAAACCCTTTACTAAGACTATTCCTAAAGATTTTAATGGGTTACTGAGTAAAAATACTGAGAGAGTATGTTTCAAAGCTAAGGGAGGTCAGTTATGGCAGGTCTTCTCCTAATCTGCTAGTAGCCAGGATTGCAGAGTATGTCTGCAGCAGAACCAGGCGCAGAAGTTTTTGTTTGAGGACATGCTCTACTAGCTAAATAGGTGACTTCACTGATAATGCTCCTCTGTCTGCACATTTTAGATCACAGAATTACTAAACGATTTAGGTTGGAAGGGCCTTTAAAGATCATCTGGTCCAATCCCCTGCTCTGGGCAGGGCCATCTTTCACTAAACTAAATGCTTGAAACGATGCTCAAAGTCCCACTCAACCCAACTTTGAACACTTTCAGGGATGGGGCATCCACAACTTCTCTGGACAACCTCATAGTAAAGACTTTCATCATTTTATCCGATCTAAATCTACTCACTTTCAGTTTAAAAACATTGTCTTTGGTCCTGTTGCTATGGGCCCTGGTAAAAAGTCTTCCTCTGTCTTTTTATAAGCACCTTTCAGGTATTAGAAGGCTGCGATGACATCTCCCTGGGGCTTTCCCTTCTCCAAGACAAACAACCCCAATTCTCTCAGCCATTTTTCCTAGCAGAGGTGTTCCAGCCCTCAGACCATTTTTGTGTCCTTCCTCTGGATCCACTCTGAACAGGTCCATGTCTTTCTTGTACTGGGAACCCCAGAGCTGGACAGTCTGGATGCTCCAGGTCGGGTCTTCATGAGAGCAGAGCGCAGGGCAAGAATGCCCTCCCTCAACCTGCTGGCTAGCTCTGGATAACTGGCTTCCTGGGCTGCAAGTGTACTCGGCTCATACTACCAGTATCTCCAAGCTGTCCTCTGCAGTGCTGCTCTCAACCCATTACTCACCCAGTCTGTATTGGTACTAGAGACTGTCCCTACCCTGGTGTAGATCTGCTATGTTCAGAATCTTCCTTCTTTTCATGCTCTGTTCTGGTTTTCCTCCAGGGGCACCAGATCCAAAGTTAACTTAAAAACTGTAAACACTGCTGAACGCGTTCTCATATCCGAGGGGCCTGAGTGTGACTGCTTCTTAGGGAAGCAGAACATGAGAACTATTTCCTCCCACACAAAATAAATCTGCTGCATACAGAACAGCATCTTAAGGACTGTTTGTCTCTCAGGCAGCTTAAAAATCTTGCGTTCACTTCCAGCACAGTGCCAGTTTATTTTTTTCAATAAAGCTTCAGATTTGACCTGTTCCTTGCAGCCACTCTTGAAGACTTGGCAAAATACCTTATTCTATCTCAGCAGTAGTATCTGTTAGCATCAGCAAGAAGATAACCTAGGTTCTTCCTTAAACATGCGGAAGCAACTACAGAGATAAGTATAAGTCTGGTTTACAGATAAAAAATCCAAGTGTGTAGGTAAGAAGCTTGAATTCAATCTCATGCAATGCTAAATACCTCAAATTTATACTACTCAAGCAACTATACTAAACATCTAACTGAATATTCAATGATAAGTTATCTTCTAGAAACTGAATAGTATAATAAATATGAGTAGCGCTGGCAGACACATACGAAGTTGCAGAAGTTGTGCTTTCTGATGCAATTTTTGTGTTCTTCCATTTGTGACTTTTAAAGTACCTGATCTTCAATAAGATGGTGTACAATGGAAAGCACCTGATCCCTCCCCAGAGACAGTTGTTTCCTATGATAAATATAACTGCAGCACTGAGATCACATTGTTTACTTATATTTGCCAATCCTGATTCAGAAACTATTAATTTCAAAATTATCAGCTACGACCATCTTTGATGATATTGTACTGAATGTGTATCCTGTAGGTTCCTACCAGATGACTCTACATGTGAAAAAAATATTTGATGTAAAAGCTGGTGCACAGAAAATTAAAAGCAATTCTGACCCTAGAATCTACATGAAGAACTTTTCTGCTCAGCAAAGCTGTAAAGGAACCAATCACAATACATCTTAGGACAACAACACCAATTACTGTGTCCAAGAAGCAATATCCACATCAGGAATTCTATGTTTGCTAACCATGCCACCACTATAATCACAAACACACATACCACCAGGACTAGCCAAAGAACAGCACTAGCGGGGTAGGAACTGGATGGGGCAGAAAAGCATCCGTGTAAATTCCTAGGGGCAGCTAATGCTCACCATGACATTTACACTTAATCTGAGTCATTCATATCGTAATCCGTTTCTTCATCCTCACTCTGAGTGGCATGCAGCATGCAGCAAGTATAGAGAAAGGAAGGGAAAAGAAAAGATTGTGAGTGAGTCAAAGATGCAACAAAGTACAGTCCACTTACACTTGAAGCACCTGTGAATGACATTTATTTACTTTTATCTGGGACTCCCAGTCTTCGCAAGAAAGAACAACAGCAGACAATTTCAAGAAGGAACATCACAGATTTCATTAAAATTTCCTTTTTCAGATGTCTAAAGTTAGCAGATAGAAGCCAATAGTGCCATGCAACATAACAACAGGGACCGTAAGCATAGAGAAAAGTTAAATAAAACTGTAAAGCTGGTACCTTTACTCCGTGTACTCTTCATCACGGATGGGAAAGGATAGCACTTGAGAATCAAACTTTGGATGTAGATGTTATGAACAACCTTTGGCCATTTGTCCAAAGAGCGACAGATCAATAAGGTGGTACAAAAGAAAATAATGCTTGCGGGAATATCGGTTAGCTTTTAGTAGTGTCATGGCTACCATTAAAACCCACTGGAACCATTTAAGTCAATGTCCCAAATGCCATCAATTTCCTTAGCTTAAGTGTATTTGAAGGTTACACAGAAGTCAACTACTAACTTACTATGCAAACTGTTTTCAAAAAAAAAAAAAAAAAAAGAAACATAAGGGAAAGAAGTCTCCGAGAAGGAATGAAGGTGAAGCTTGATTAGACGGGCTATCAGAAAATGTCTTTTCCTTTTCTGACAGTCCAGTACGATCAACTAAAATTGAAATGCTTGACAATAAAAATTACATACTGGCAGCTTTTTGCTTTCTCTAACCCAACCTGCTGTAGAAGTAACAGGAAGACTTTCTCCACAGCTTCTGAAAGTCAGTCCCAATACATGAACGTATTATCCTGTATATACCACTGGATACCAGAATTTCATATGAACTTCATTAAGACCATCGAGCTACTGAGACAACAGCTCCCAAGCTGCGAGCAAGATTCCTGAACACAACTGTCAGAAGCCTCTCAACCACAAATAATTTTCTATTTTTCTTTTCAGGCATAACACATGCCTATTAAAAATATTTGATCTATTAGTGTTGTGGTTTAAGCCAGCACTGCACCAGCTACTAAGAAGAAGAACTGTTAACAGCTGAACCCAGGACAACTAGAAACACAGGATAGAAAAGATTATTCTTCAAGTATTGCTATTAGTTGCTAGCAATACCTCAGCGCTTCCAGGACAAAAGGAGTGAATGTTGTATCTCCAATCTTAATCAATTCTGATTCATTACCTGGACAAATTACACCCTGCTCTCTTTTCTGAAACAATGACGAAGAAGCACTTCAATGCAGAGGTTGAAGATCTAGCCCCTCTCAGAGCTACTGAATTTGCAGAGCTGTACTGCCCTTTGAAGTAGCTTTTGTATTTAGGGTTTAATCATTTCATTTTAACAGTATTTTCTTTTCCATTAAGGGTGCAGTATAACTCTGGCAACTTCTGAAGTTCCCTGAAGATGTGCTATCATTCCTTACGAAGATCCTTATCAGATTCTAGAGTTCCATGGTTTATTTCAGGTACATAGCCTAGTCCTAAATTATTGCCATGCATCTCTAACCTGTCAACTTTGCATCTTGGCAAAAGCAGACCCTGACCTGGGGTATTGGAAACAGTGAGCTGTGGCTTAGCCAGGTTCAGTGTTTACCTTGACTACATTAATCCCTTACAACTCCTTGGAAGTTTTATCTCTACAGTGACAAAAGAGCATAAATTAATCATTTCACTAAGAATCCAACGTAAAGCTTGGAGTGTTTTTGCAGTGCAATTTACAAAAATGTCCCCATATATGTAGCCATGTAACCAAGTCGCAAGGCATAGAAAGTAGTGAAGCTTTATCTGTTTGAGGGCTCAGTGCCAAGACCCAGGTCAATTCTTAAACATTATTTCAAAATTCCTCTCTTCGAAAGTTATTCTTGAAAAAGCAAGCTTTGATGTTTTACCAGTTGTTTCCTATCTACATATGCTAAATTAAAAGCTTTTAAGTAAGCTACAGAAGTATCCGGTTTGTAGTCATCTCATACAAAGCAACAATACAGTGATAAAAACTGTTCAATATGCATGGAAGAGAAGCATATACTTACATATATAACTGGTCTGCCTTACTACTATTCTGTTGTGTTTTTACATTTTCCCTTGTACAGACTCTGAAAGACAACTGAGCAAAATGCTAAGATACTGTGCCTGTTACAACCTTTTTGGAAAGCTAGCTACAGAAAGTAAAGAGAACTGGGCAGACACCTGAAAACCCTAAGCTAACAAGTACCTTCATTTTGTAACATATTGCACAGGACTATGCTTTTCAGAGACAGCATATTACAATCTCCAGTCTTGACGGTAAGATTTCTTCTGCTGAAGTGTAGCAAGAAAAATAGTTTTCAACTGAACCAGTGGCAGAATAAGGAAGCATTCATTTTTTTCAGAAACAAACCCTAGATTCTCAACTGTAAACAGCAAATTATCTGCCAATACTTGAAAAAAAACAAGACAGGTTATCAGGAATATCGCAGACTATTGGATTTAAAGAACCCATTTGGTATAACAAATGCATGCTGACTGTACCATTTACAGTCATACAATGGACAGGGAAACATTATTAGTCATGAGTGAGGGGAAAAAAAGCAATTAAACAATGGTCCAGAACAGAGATAGGCCTAGCAGGACTTAGTGAAGCCCAACTAATTCGACACCATTTATTTAGACCAATGTCTCATAACTTACCTTTGCTTTTTCACTTGGTTCACTGGTTGTGCCATAGGGAGTGTTATGCAATTCCTTTGAGACCACACACAGAAATTCTGCCTGATCTTCATTGCCATAGTTATAGGAAGAACCAATACTGACCAGCTGAAAGATTGGGGGGGGAGGGGAAAAAAAAGTCAACTGCATTTCCACATAAAACAAACTGTAAATTCTCATCATTAATACAAACACTCCTCACTGTTCAGACTGTTGGCTGTGCCTGAAGCATGATTCTCCACTTCAATGCAAATACATTTGGATGCTGACAAATACACTGACACTCGGATGAGAAGATAAACATAGTTTTTCTTTTTAAACCTTTTACAGAACTAATGATTGAATGGTTATGATCGTTCTGTGACAGAAAAGGCTACAGAGGCAGGCCAGCGGAGAAGTAGCCTCTTCCCGTTTCTGTTATTTACTGGAAACCTTCCCACCCTCCAAAGTCGATTTTTAAGAAGTCTGTACGTTGTACCTTGATGTGGTGGGATTTAACATGTAAATGGCTGCATGCAGGAAGCACTTTAACCTGAAGGGATACCCACGACTTTACTTACAGATAACAGTACTTCTATTAAAACATATTTTGAGGGTACAAAGACAAAATTTGCATTTGATCAGAAAACAGCAAGACACAGCATGGTGGGACACCAAGAATAACATCCGAAACTCATATGTGCTGCTACAAGGAAGCTAATTACAGAAGCACTACAAGCAGAAGCCATGTGTAATGTAATGTGACCTGTTTGCAAGCTTCTACAAGTCTCAACTGAATGATAAATGACAATTTACTGAGCACAAAGGATATACTCAGCACCAGTACTATACCGTGTATGCAGTGTGTTTATCAAACGGCAGAAATTTCATGTAACTTGTCTTACCTCACACAGAGTTGTGGAGTAATGGAGGAATTAGAGACACCCTTCCCATTCCCCCGATCCTCAAAGTTATGTGACAGTATTAAAGAAATTTTAGGGTAAAATGCAGCTGCTACTTCTGGGATAGAATATGGTTGACATGCACAGGATCTACCTTATGACAGTTCCCCAGGCAACCCTGTGACCTCAGCATATGCTGGGAGAAACTGAAGGGGAGTGGAATGGAGCGAAGGCCCTGCGGCCAGGCTCTGTTTTCCTCCCTACAGGTGTGGGAACGTGATGACACCATGTACTGATAAACTGCACAGCAGCTGCCAAAACAGCGCTGTAAAGTGAGAGAATTCATACCAAAAATGTGTGTGGCTTGGTGGATGAAGTTGCCAAGCCATTATCCATCATATCTGAGCAGTCGCGGCAGTTCCATCAAGTTCCTGCTGACTGGAAACGGGGAAATATAACTCCCATTTTTAAAAAGGGAAAAAAAGGAAGACACATGGAACTACAAGCTGGTCAGTCTCACCTCAGTGCCTTTGCTTAGCTTGCCTCTTTTCCAAGCCAGAATAGAGTCAGATATAGCTGGTTCATTTCTTTAAAGATTTCAAAAGCATGACGAAAGAATGTATGATGCTATTACTGCTGACACAGATCAAAGGCCTAAAAATCAACCTGTTGCACAGATACACTGTATCTAAATGTTATTACCAAAACTGTATTAAATCTAACCTACCAAATCACCATATTCATGTGATAAGAGTGTCCTACTCCCCAGTATCCATTATATCATTAAAGTGCCCTGCTAATGGCCCCATAGAAAATGCTTGACTTGTTTTTTAGGGCAACAGCACTTGAAACACTGTCATTATCTGTCTAAGAACAGACTGTGTACTTCCATTAGTAGTCTAGCAGAGTACCAAGGCGAGTAAAAGCCTTGTTAAAGGAGGGAAGATGCAGCATAGACGAAATCTTGGTCCAGAATCTGTACCTGAGGGATAAGATTATTCCTCCAACAAAAGTGGAAGATAGACCTAGGTTAAAACCAGCTTCCATATAGCACTGCCAGGAGAAAATAAAGCCTCACTGTATTTTTAAGGAGAGAGGAGAGAGATGTTCAGATGTGCCTGCACTTGGTAAGACGGCTAAGCAAGCACCTCCACAGACAGAGCCAACGTCTACAAAGAGCAGCAGGCAGTATGCCTGCACAGTGAACCAACTCAATGCCAGGCCTAGGTGATGTCAAATTTTTTGGACCCTGACAGTAGCATACAAGGCTCAGCCTTCAATGAACAGTACTGACAATCAAGATTCAGCATTCTCAAACTAACTTTAACTACACTGTCTGGGTGTGATCACCAGAAACCTTTCTCTCTCTTCTCCACTCCTAACATCACTCTGGGTCTGCAAAATACATACAAACTCGATAATGAACACAGGATGATCAAAAATAAATGTGCTAAAGAGAATTTTTTCCAGAAAAAAAAACAGGCAATGAAGTTACAAAACTCCATTTTTCCTTCAGAAGCACCAATTCATCCTCATTGGAATACAAAGGCACCATTTATCTTGAGACACTAAGTCAGCTAATCTTCCACTCTGCAGTCTGCGCCGTAATACAGAATCACAAAACCTATAAGGTAACTAGTTGATTAGTTGGCCTAAGAAAGTCCACTGAAAAGATGGAAAATGAACCCAGATGTACTTCATACATAGAGATGATTTGTTGCTTCTCTTCCCTAACAGCAAAAAATACCATGCATAAGTTTTCAGGGGAAAAAAAAAGTCAGTTAAAATACATTGGCTCCAAGCCTGTTGAAGTGTATAAAATTTATCCTATACATTATATAGCAATTACAAAAAATACTAACATAGTAACTGCTTCAATTATTGAGGTAATACGTAGAACTATCTTAAACAGCAATTTAAACTCATTTAAAGGCTAGGAAACACTAAAAAAGTTGGATACACATTTAAATGAAGCCACAGCTTCTCTGAAGAAAGATTTGAAGAATAAAATTCAAGCAGATGATTTGATTTAGTACACAGTCAAGTTTTCTTCTTGCAAAATGGCAAGGACTTGGTATCAGGTAACTATGAAAGCTACCAGTAGGAAAAATACTTCTTTACTCATTGACACTTGAACAAAATAAATGACCTCTCTGAAAGCAGATATGATGCAAGAGCCAAACAGTAGCCAAATCATCAACACATTCAACAAGGTAGATACTAATATCCCACGCTAATGCTTCATAATCCAAATAAGTTGATTGTTTGCACGTAAGTCTGTTCAGGAGACGTGGCAGACTGACTAATTACTAGGTATTGGACGGGATTATTGATTTAGCCAACTACAAAACATCTGGATGACTTTTTGCCATTACTGATCAGTCGGTGCCCTTCAAGATGAAGTTACTTTTGCAACATTAAAAATAAGTTCTTCAAGACTCCCAACAGAATACTCTTGTAAGCAGCTCCATATGTGTGCAACTAAAAATTTATTGTCTGCATTTACTATTTGCATTATTTTATCAGTAGCATGTCAGAAACTTCATCGTAGGTTTTTGAGAAGCATCAGCAACAATATGGGTGATGGCAGAAAAAGAAACAATGGAAAATGATTGCAGATTAGAACTGAACTGTCTTGTTAGAAAGTATGATCAGAAATAAGGCAGTATTTTAGCACTTGTATTCCAAAAATCTCCCCCTTGTTCCCAGTGTTGGTGGCAATACTTTAAGAAGGGTGCTGATAAAGTGGAAGCAACTCTTAAACTCCCCTAACCTGCATCTGTCCAACCCTGCACTACCCATCCCACCAAAAAAAACCAAAACCCACAATAAAACAGAGTAATCTGAGGCCAGCAAAACATGCATTACAATGCATAGCAAAAGGATTTCAGACTACTTTCTCAGACTTCCTAAAAAGACAAACTCTTTCTGGCTCATGGGTCTTAAACAAGAGGTTTAATGACCAATGACTTAAAGAGAGGTTTAATGACCAAGAACTTAAGGGGAAGAAAAAAAAAAAGTTGAAACTGTGAATTTTGTCATTTGTATAACTATAAATATGTATCATTTATATAACTATATACACAGACGCATATATCATTTGTATAACTATATATACACATGTATACATGCATGTACAGATTTTTCCTCCTTGCTTTATTCATTCCATTACTTGTTTCATTACACTCCGTACTAAAGCAGTATGATCCCACTTGAGCACCTCTGTGAGCCTCAGTGTCATAGCAAGCAGAGGAAAATGCCAATGTCACTTATCACCTAAATTCAGTAGATCATGGTCCATTCACTGTTTGCATAGAATAAGGGTGCTGACACTAGTAGAGACTGTCGGATGTAACTACCAAAAGGCAGGTAAGGAAAGCTTTTTTGTTGTTGTTGCTGTTGTTGTTTATTATATTATTCTTGTAATTATTAATATTACTATTATTATAGTTATTTGTATTCTATTGCTTGATGTGCCAGTACAGGTCAGGATTTTCCTGAAAAGATGAAGAAATAACAACAGGGAAGTTCCTGTCTCATAAAGTCTGAACTTCTAAGTAAAATAAGAGATGATCATCAGAGAGGCAAAGTGAAAAATAAAAGCAACTAATAGTTTGGCCTAAGAAAGGTGGACAGAGACTACTGGTGCCTTGCTAGGGTCAGGCTTGTTTTTAAGGAGGAAAGGTTTAGGGATGATTTCAGGGACAATAAGGAAAAGTTCTTCAGTTTTTTCATAAGTCCGCAGCTCTGTGAGAGGATAACCACCTTTCAAAAAAGTCTACTTAAGAAAAACAGATGACAGAAGTGTTATAGCTGAGAGAATAGGTCAAATTAAGTCACTCAAGAGCAGCAAAACATGAACCTCTTCCCATCTTAAAATAATGACTGTACAGCTAAAAACATCCCCATGAATGGGCAAAATAGTTGGATCAGTTTTAGGAACCTTACTTTTGAAGTGAACAGTTCTCTTGCCTAACTGAACTGAGGCAGCTCTCAAAACCAGACACATTTCAATAACTTGCCTCTACAGATTTGCTATACTGATTTAACAGTACTGATTCAGAATCTGTACAGTGCATTTAGAGGACAAATTAGCAATAGTATTACCTACCATCACAGACAATCACTCCAACTTGCACAAACAGTGTCTCTTGTCTTCCTTTGTTTTGCACTGGAGTTACCCATATTAACTAACTCTTCTACTTCATGACTACCAATTTCCTTCTCTTTCTGTGATGGTCTGATTTTCAAAACTGAGTAAATTTCATAACAATTATTCTCAAATTATATTTTAAATATTCTTGTACTTTGAATATTACTGCTTCTGTGTCAGCTATGATAAACTCCTGCCACACCAGAAAGCTTGGAAAGTCTTGGAAAGCTTGTCTTCCTGGTTTTTTTTTAGTTATAGTAACAGCTGATAGAACGAAAGTCCTCCCCTCAATTTTTTGTTACAAAATCAAGTTGCACGAATGTAAGAATGGCCTCTAAACCTTTTAGAGTTATAATGTGTTTGTTCTACTGCCTTCTCAAAGGATTTGCAAAGGGCTGTAAAGATACATACACATCAGGCGGTAAACTCAGCACTGATGACTGAGACCAGGACTGCAAACATATTTATTTCAGGTCCTTTAATGCAATTGTCAGACTTCACATCTAGAAGGAAGGAAAATTAATCCTTTTTTTGTTGATTTTTGTTGTTTGTGTTTAAAATCTCCCATTTTATTATGTTGGGATTTACTTGGACCTATCTAGGACATGAACACAGGAAATCACATCATACTGCCTGTACCTCAGGTATCCTTAACAATGGGTCACATTTCCTAGTCAGTTCCAGAAAGTCTACAAACCCATGCAATAATTCTGCATTCCAAATGTTACTTATACAACAGCAAGAAACAGTGCTTGATACTTGAAATTAGACTCTGGAATACAGCTGGGCAACAGCCCAGGTTTAAAATTTGCAATTGCATGGTTAAGTGCCCATGTAAACTCTTAAATAAGGTTCTGCTCATGTAAAGTCAGTTTACTGTCATGTTATTTTCATGATGTTATACTGACCTTTCAGACTGAATAACCATATATACAGCAAGGAAAAGAAGCACTCTGAGTATTTTACTGATGGAAAATACTAGAGAACACCAGGTTCCCAAATCAATTCACAAAAGACACTTCAGAATGGAGCACAGCTATGGACAGAACTGGAAACTGCCTCCAGTGTAACTGGTTAGCAAAAAAACCCTCCCCAAACTCCTGAACGCTGGGAAGTAACACAGCAATTTAAAAGTCAGTGATCTGAGGTCGAGAGGAGCAGGAAGGACGAGACACCCTAAAAAGCCAATGAGTGAAGCTACGATTCATTTGGGTAGCAATAAAATTTTCCCTGAAAAATTCCCCAACAAATAAAACCAAACCAAACCAACAACAAAGCAACCAACCAACCAAAAAAAAAAAATCAAACTACAAAAAAAACACAAACCAAACAGCCCCCCCCCCCCCCAAAAAAAAAACAAACCAAAACCCAACAACAAACAAACAAACAAACCAACCCCAGAAAACCAAACCCCCAAAACCCGGGATGTTCTTTCCATTTGAGACACGACTTCAACCTGCTGATTTTGTTCTCTCGCTCCTTATTTTATTTCTGAAAAAAATCTGTTACTCGTTGTCCCAGCTTTAACATATTTCACTCAGCTAAAAAAAGCAATTAAGATTTGACTTACCAGAAATACAGGGTTCCAACTCAGAACTTAACTGGCTATTCAGTAGATGAAATACACCCAAACTGGAACAATGATTAACACAGAAACGTCCTTTTCTGAACCCAGTGAACTCAAAGCTTTATTTACAGGGCTCCTAATGTTTAAACTGTACTACTTTTACTTAACAACTATGAATCAAAGGCTGTTAACTTTGGAGGAAGATTTAAGGAAAAGAAGGTACCTACTGAGAAGGTAAGAACTCTTCTTAAGAAAACTTTTACCTAAATAACTGGGGGGGGGGGGGTTGATTGGTTGTATTTTTATTATTTTTACAATATGAACATTCATAATGTATCATGAAATACTGTGAATATAAATAAAAGCCAGTCACAAATACACACAAATTACTATGTGCTGTACATCCAGGAATAAAGTGGAATGATTTGAAAGCAGCAGAAACGCAAGGAGGCCAAGCATATCAGTGTGAGGGCAAAAAGAATGGTGTGACACACCTCACTGCAGCATTTCTGGAAGCATCTCTCTTCCCCTTTCACTTCCCGTGACACTATCAGCAGATACTCTGACTGCTGGGCCCGGCCACAGCTGTACTGGGAACCTATACTGACAAGCTGAAATAACCAATCAAAGCAAAACACAAAAAGAAACCTTTGTAAAGCTGAAGCATATACTGTTATCCAAATTGTACAAATAATAGATGAGCTCAAACGTTCAGGTAACATTAACTTGCCACTAGAACACGTTGCTATCAAGCTACAACTTTCATTTAAACATACTTAAAATTTACGAAGGCAGCTGCAAAGCCCTTTGTAATTTCAAGGGAAGTTAAGAGTTACTGAGAGTAAAGCAGAAAACTCACTGTGGTATAGCCAGCTACTCTGAAAACCATAAAGTCTGGTGCATTGTGAAAGTGAGCATTACTTTCCTGTCATACTTTCCAAGTGCAGAAGGTATTGTGGATATAAGACTGGAAGGTGTCATGTAAAGCAATATAACAAGCCTGGGTATCGAAGAACTTAACTGTGTTCCAGACATTGACAAACAAAATACAGCCAGGGAAACATATTAAGTCAACTAGAGGAAAAAAAAAAAAAAAGAAGGGGTAATTCACAGAAGATCCAAGAAAATAATTGGAGTAAAAAAAAAGATTGTCTGTCTTGTTCCCATAAATATCAGTACCAAAAACTGTTGACACTTGCCAAACATCTAAGAATTCAGAAGTTCAAAACATCAGCTGAATTTCTCAACTTGTTATCACAAAAAAATGTTTTATCTTAATAATACACAGCAATTCATAGCCCATTTGAATTCAAGCACAGCCTGCCAGTGCACTTGAGAAAGATTAGTGTTTTAAATTAAGTGTGAAGAACTAGACAACTGCCTATTCTGAGTAGGGATTACTACTGATGAGAAGGCTCATGGACAGTAAATTTATTTTTTTATCCTGCTATTGTTATGTGAATAATTTTGAAGGCAGCAGCTAAACACTGTCCTCCTTACGCAGTGAACATACTTAAGACAGCATTATGGTGACAGACTCAGGTTACATTAATCATTAAAATTTACATGACCGACACACCAGTGCTGTCTGAAGCCTTTGTGTGTAGCAATTTAGTACAGCCCAAAGTTTCTTATTATGCAGTATTGCCTAAACATTGTTTTTTTTTCTGATTGCTTGAAGAAGTAACAACTGAAACTAAAAACCATCTACAAATAACCCACTGGTATCACAAAGTGGGGCAGGCACAACTACTGGCAGTAGTTTTGGGGCTGGGACTGCTACATAATTCCAGCATTCTGGCAGCACTTTCACTGGTACTCTTTGAAAAAGTGCACCAATACATCTGCATCTGCCAGAAGTTTAACACCTTCCACTCCTATTTAATCATCACATACAATCGTATTTTACAAGAAAACTTTGAAATGTCAAGGGGAATGAAATATTTTTGGTCAAAAGCAACCATTTAAACATGTTATACAGGGGACAGAGCACAAGGACTCTCAACCCGTAGGAATATTACTCCTCTGAAAAAGCTGCTGATTTCTCTCCCACCAAGAATATGTAAAAAGCACAGTAGGTGCCACCCCAAAGACTGCTTCTGAAGGAAGCATGCTGCTGAGCAACACAGGTTTAGAAAAGGTAAAAAACTGCAGAAATGCTAAAAGGTTCTGAAATCTGAATAATAAAACTGTTTAGATTATACAGAATATTCTGATCATGTTTCAAGGGAATGAAGTCTGCTAAAAGCAGGTCTGCAATACAACCAAAGGAGAGAATGGCCTAATCTGAGGTAACAAGAAGCTGAGCATTATGAGACTATATGGTTGTTATGTTTATCTACTTCAACCTATGTGCTCAAGAGAGTGCAACATGGGGGAGAAGAGAGGAAGTAGGGAGAAAGCTGGATGAAACAAGGACATAATGTTCAAGAAAACCACTGGAAGTTTCCAGTTTTAAAAGAGCTTCTAAAATCCAGAAGAGATTATCATAGTCCTTTTAGCAGTTGCACTGTCAGAGCAGGATTATCCCCAAATACAATATCCCCAAAGAATACAAGGCTTTAGGACAGGTAAAAGCCATAGTATCATTTAAACTGTTAAAAAGTAAAGGATCTCTGCTATAAAGAAATCTGGTTTCTCATGCCAAAGAATATATATTAAAAAAAAAAGAAAAAAACAAAAAACATTGTAAATGCACTGGAGGGGGAAAAAAAAATAAAAAAAAATCATGTGCATTAAGTGAGAGCTTTTTTCAGGGACTTAAACCAGCTTCTGGCTCCTGGCAAACCAAACAGACCTGGTAATACTTGAGCCAGAGAACTGAAGCATAAGAAACGTTCTCACTGCTGGTTTAGATTATGTATCATGGCTGTGCACCACGACACCAGCACCTTGCACATTTCAACAAATATGAGCAAAATATTCTCTTTCACCTTTGTGTGCCATACTTCTAAAAAACGTTGCTTTGTTGCACTGTTACAGTGAGACTGCACAGGGTAAAAGGCTTGTGCTTATTCCAATCTCTCCAAAGGCTGGCATCAGACACTGAAAAAGATGCTGGTGGCTGAGCACTTCTGTCTCACTCCAGAGTTAACAGCTTCATTGCTCCAACAAGGTTTAAATAGTCTCGTAGGTTAGGAATGTGAAGGATGAAGATGCCACATAGTTTCTTAATTACAAAAATTAGCAAAGATAACAGAAAGATCTCCTTGCAATTATACAACGTATTCTTGAATGTACATACAAAGCTACTTTTATGCAGTGCAAAGAATGAAAACATTCACGTAGTTCATACCTATCCAGCTTCACATCCATGCTGGTTAAATTCACCCTCTTATGTGTATCAGTACTTTACCTGAAGAACCATTGCTCAGGCCTGACAAGCATTTACCTCCCGAACTTGTCTCTTTTACCCAGAGCTCCTCATATCTGATTCATATAAACTTGTATTAGTTCATTTTGGTTATTCACCCTTCAAATGCTCGTGTGTAGACACTGAAGAATAACATTTCAAACATGATGTAGATGTTTTTGTAGAAAGTCAGCACAATTTACCTCCTGGAAAGCTAGTTTAGTTGGTTTGCTTTTTTTTTCCTCTGACAAATAAGAATACAAATATAAAATTTTAATTTAACTGTGTATATTTATCCAATTTCTGAAAATGACTGAACTTAGAAAGATGCACAGATTTGACTTTACACTCCTCTCTCTGCATTTTCAGAAGACTTTGTAATTATATCCCATATGGGTTTTTTACCTGTTCAAATTTCCAGCCATCAGACATTGTGGAAACCATTTGAGTGAGTTCCTCTTCCTGGCACTGCAGCACCCTGTACACATGTTTGACTGGCACCTTCAAGAAGAAACAAGATGCTCAGTACAGCATGGAATTCACTATGCTTGTGACTTGTCTAAAGTTGCCCTTACCCTCTAGAAATGGTAAGTAAAAAACACCATCTTGAACACCTTGTCCTTTTGGGGTTTGGGGATTTTGTTGCTGTTGTTGTGTTTTGTTTAAGAAATCTCATCTGTTCAGAATCACTTTCCAGAAGACTCAATGCTTCATGAGTGTTTCACAGACTAAAAGTGCTACTTAACAGTTAGAACAAAATAATCTTAAGACTTACTTGTCGTTCCATGTAGTAGCGAACCTCATCATTCAAAAAGAAGGCTGAGGTTCTGGAGAAGCCTACCTAAGTTTAAGGAATGTCTGATCATATTAAAAATGTCATTATTTCCCTGTGAAAGTTTCCCATTCAGAGCAATGAATAACTGGGGCCACTTCAGCTGAAACCCTTTAGAAAATATTCTGAACAATTCTTTAAAATGTTTTCATGTTTTAAACAAGAACTGGAACCATATGCTGTGCCCTGTGTAAGCAGAATGGGAGAGATTGGCAATTAAGAATATTAACCTTCCTGCAGCACTGGCTCCAGCTCAGCCAGTGCCAGAGGCAGCCACTTAGTATCTTGAAATGAGCAGTTAAGGGAAAAAATAAAAATGGAACACACCCACTATTTGCCACAGAACAAAGAATCAAAACCACCCCAGAAAACAGCCTCACCTGTGAGATTTTGCTGTCTCTTTCTCTTATTTTGTCTTTTACCAGTTTTATTAGTGATGTGATATTGTAGAATTCAGCCTCTTCCAGTACACCTAGGATGAGAACAGTTTTTGGAAAAGAGTGTAACCAAAGATCCCAGGCCAAACCCATCGATCAGTTCCTAAGATTATATTCTCTACAGCTATAGAAGTGATTTGTTTTGCCCTATGAAAAGTTCATTTACTAGTGTAACAATTCCGGGTGCCTTCAGGTACATGCAGTTCAACACTGAGCTCATTCCAAAAAAGTGCCCTGAGAAAAACTGCAGAGAAAAAAGGCCATTCCACATGCAGAATGAGAAGCAGGAAACAAACAAGAAAAAAGGCGCACAAATGCCATGGGGAGCAGACTGATGGCCCACCACAGCTCAGGCCCTGCCTCAGGCCGGAATATGAAAGAGAAATTCAATTTGTCCCACTGGAAAGCTCTGCAGTTTGCAGAAAAAATTTCTTTCTGTCCCTGAAACAAAAGCTTAAATGTACGTACTAAAGACAGCTCCCACTCACATGTTCAAGCCTCACTTGTTCTCTGCACATACTATGTGTTTAACAGTGCACTCGGAAACTACATTTCACATTATTTCCCGCTACTGTTGTTAGATTGTATTTCTTTTTGACCAATTTCTTCAACACCTTATCAATACAATTTTAGTACTATGGTCTAAAAAAGTCATCCTCCATCAGGGCAATACTGGTATGAATTTGGGTCAGGGAGAGAGAATCTGGCAGATTTTACTCCTCAAGACCTTATTCCACACATCTGAACATCCCAGAATTTCGCTATTACCTCTCTTTACATCTTCTAAAACTTGTTTTGCAGCCAGTATTCTAGTGCTTGAAGAGGACTAAACCCAAATATTTCACACAGTCATACAGGAAAGAGACAAGATTACAGATTAAAAGGCATCTGCCCTCATGTTCGTGTATTTATGTTCTAACTGGCGATGGGGGGTTGCGAAATCAGGAATCATACTCAAACTACCCAAACACTACCATATACTATAACTGCACAATACCCATCAGCTTTGCTTGCAACAGACTGAAATGCTACACTGATTAAGATGCACCTGTAAATTACTTTTGGTGACTCAGAAATGGTGAAAATAATAAGCAAGAGATTTAGCAACATCTTACCTTCCTCAGCTAGGTCCTTGTTAATAACCAGTTTCCCATGTCTGAGATAGTTCAGCACTGGCCCAAAGTAGGTTGGGTCTCTGTCTATTAAATAGGCACCTGTTTCATCCTAGAGTAGAAAAACAAAACAAAACAAACAGACCAACCGAAGAAACAAAAGAACCCAAACCCACACACAACCTCCCAACAAACAAACACAAAAGCCAAAAAAAAACAGAATGACTTGAACAACCAAGCAGGAACTGAAGCTAATATTCAGCTTGGCATCTGAATAGCAAGCAGATATTCACAGCCACATCCCTTAAAGCCAACTTTATTAAAGACATTAAAAGGAATTCTACAATGTTGTAATTGTATCAGACTGACCACGCAACTCAATAAAGTACTATACAACTTCTCTTACCTGATCTACTCCTGTATCTATTACCTATACACTTATAAAAAGATTATCAACACTGTTAGCATGAAACGTTTAAGTGGTGAGAATACTAAAAATTAAGTTTAAAAAGAACAGTTTAAACCAGGAAACTATCTTTTTTAGCCGGAAACGTGAAGGCTCAGAACAAAGGCTGCATTACAGCAAAATTTGGATACCAACTTTTGTTTGTTTGTTGTTTCTGAAATTACAGGCAAACAAACCTACCTTCAGTTTAACCTCAACACTTTCTTTTAAACCTCAACACTTTGTTTTAAAAACATGCGGTTTTGTCTTAGCTCAGACGTACAAACACTCACAGGACACTGAGAACAGCTGCATACCAAGGGTTCTATGCGCATACAGATATAACCCAAAGAAATTACCTAACAACTGCATGCATCATAAGATGAAAAGTATTATTTAATACAGAAATAGAAACCAGTGAAGTTGGAAAGGAAGATCTAAAACTGATTAAAAAACCCCACTGTTTTAAAGAAAAAAGCAGAGTCTTGGGTCATCAGTTGAACTGAATTAAGAAATATATAGGCTTACAAAACTGGAAATCCTTTCAGCTAAGAGAAGTAAGTTAGAAGCAAGCTTCAGTAAAATTATTGTAATCTTTTGCACTACAGTGTTTTCTCACATGACCTTCTGAAGCAACACCGACCACCAGCTCTATACCATTACAGACATAGGTGAGTCACAGAAGCAAATTAACTGAAAGCTCTAAATGAACTAGCTGCTCATGGCCTGGATGGGTGGACTCTTTGCTGGGTTAAAAACTGGCTGGATGGCAGGGTCCAAAGCGTGGTGTCACATCTAGTTGGCAACCAGTCACTAGTTGTGTCCCCCAGGGCCCCGTGTTAGGGCCAGTGCTGTTTCATATTTTCATTAATGATCTAGATGAGTGGATTAAGTGCACCCTCAGTGAATTTGTGGATGACACCAAGTTGGGGGGGAGTGTTGAACTGCTGGAGGATAGGAAGCTCTGCAGTGGGATCTGGACAGGCTGGATCCATGGGCTGTGGCCAATGGGATGAGGTTCAAGAAGGCAAAGTGACAGGTCCTGCACGTGCACCACAATAACCCCCTGCAACGCTTCAGGCTTGGGCAAGAGCGGCTGGAAACTGCTCATGGGAAAGGAGCTGGGGGTGCTGACTGATGGAGCTGAAAGTGAGCAGCTTGTGCTCAGGCAGCCAAGAAGCCACCAGCATCCTGGCCTGTATCAGCACCACTGTGGCAGCAGGGCCAGGGCAGTGAATGTCCTCCCATACTAGGCACTGGTGCAGTCACACCTTGAATCCTGTGTTCAGTTCTGAGCCCCTCACTACAAGAGAGACATTGAGGTGCTGGAGCAAGGCCAGAGAAGGGCAATGGAGCTGGTGCAGGGCCTGGAGCACAAGTGTGATGGGGAACGGCTGAGAGACCTGGGGGGTTCAGTCTGGAGAAGAGAAGGCTCAGGTGGGACCTGATCGCTCCCTACAAGTGCCTGACAGGAGGACGGAGCCGGGAGGGGCTGGGCTCTGCTCCCAAGGAACAAGGGATGGGACAAGAGGAAACGGCCTCAAGCTGCACCAGGGCAGGTTTAGATGGAGCTGAGGAACAATTCCTGCCCCAGAGGGTGCTCAGGCATTGGAACAGGCTGCCCAGGGCAGGGCTGCAGTCATCGTCCCTGGAAGTCTTCACACATTGTGCAGACAAAGCCCTCAGTGACACGGGTTAGTGGTGGCTTTGGCAGTGCTGGGGAATGGCTGGACTTGATGATCTTGGAGGTCTTGCCCAACCTGGTTGGTTCTATGATTGTACAAAATCTCAAGTAACAATGGTTACTTTACTCCTTATACAAAAGGCATCAATTTATTTATTTATTAAAGGACAATGGTATCTGAAATTACTCTTCCCTGAGTAGATTTCTATATACTAGAAAACAAGCTTCTAGCAAAACCAAACAGGGAACAAGCTATGTCAAGCTTTCTCTTTCAAAGTCCACCTAATGAGAGGTCCCAGCAACTTGCATTACCTGAACTCATTAGCCTACCATGCACATCAGAGCTTATCATTAGCACTTGTACCAAACGTGGTTTACACATACAGCATCCAGTCTGTGAGACATAAGATAGAATGGCTTTTGTCTTCTACCTATTTTTAACCATCTTCCTCATCACCCCCAAACTTTTTTCTACTCTACCATTCCTCATCTCCATTTTTTTCATTACACTTATTCCTTTCACTACTAAGTTTTCTTCCTCACCAAATGACCATCTACAATCTATAAAAATGCTTAATCTTCATACTCATGAATACAAGTATCATACTTAATATATATATAATGTACCGCATACAAATAAAGTTCCACTGAACTAGTGTCATAGTTTACTCTGAACCCTTTCAGGCAACAACATGTCTTCAAAAAGAATCATAAAAAGGAAAAAAAAGGAACTCAAAAGTCTTATCATTTATGGGGTAATAGTAACCTCTTTTCTTTTTTGCATTAGTAAATACTGATCGCTAAAGTTTAAGAACTCAGGCTAAATTCTTACAGTGAGCAATCTAAATTCTGTCAATAGGATTCACTTTAGTGTGTAAATTCCATGGAAAATTATGAATTTACTGACCAACTCAGAGTAACTGGCCACTTGACAGATATGAAAAATATGCATTAATTAACATCCTTACAAAGACAAGACGCATGTCTTGGTCTTTGATGTTACAACTCAGGTATACTGCAACTAGTGCCAGGGAGTCACAACCCAAAATGTAAACTACTCAGTACTGAATATTGTAGCAATATGCAAAGAATGCACAGGGAAATGAGGCACAAAATCAATTTCCTAGGCATCGTCCTACAAAAAATGCCTTCTCTCTTCCCCCCTAGAGTGAGCTGCCCGATTATTCTTCAATGTACACTAAGCATTTATTTGAAATCACTAAGAAAAGCTGATTACACTAGATCTTCAAAGATATTTATGTAAACATAAATCCAATAAAAGCTGACACAGTAATGCAGTCATTTGTGACACGTACCACTCTCAAAATATGGGTCCGAAGTCTTTCCACACCTTCAAAAATTGTCAGAATTGGCTTCATCCGCACACGCACGACAATACCTCATATTCTCATGTATAATTAATATTGTAAATGGAAAAATATTGCCCAAAGCATTTAAATGATCACATATTCCAGCCTCAAACATTCCGTCTGCAATTTTGTAGAGACTGAGGCTTAAAGGAATCGTAACGGAATACTTAACCTGATGTTCATTTAAAACATACATACAACTCAACCTTTAGAAAGCAGCTGTGAAACCTACCCATTTTGTGCATGCCATTCAAATAACTAATTACTGTTGCTGCTAAAATTATATATCCTTATATGAAAATAGACACTTTCTAGTTTCACACTTCACTAGCTGCATTCACAATACCTTTGCTAGACTGAACGGGCTTCACTATTAAGATTTCTAGTCTCGCGATACATACTTTTGGAATGAGAAGTCACTCCTTAAACTCCTTACCAAAACCTCCTTGGTTTTCCTCTTTATAACCTTCTGCCAAATCGTAATTCACCTTAACCAAGCTCTAAAATTTTTGCAGTGACCTTGAATTGTAGATACCGGCATCAGTTACAGGACTCCAGTGGGACTTAAAAGGAGGACCAAATACACCCATCTCCCTAATCCCACTTAACATTCACCCCAAGAATTGCATTATAAGACGAGTTGAAACTTCAGGAATTTATTTGCAGGTACTTGTCTTACACTGAGGTAAAAACTGAAGTCTGAAGACTTTTCCTCAAATACTTTCCAGAATGGACACAACTGGAATCCACCCCACCAAGCTCCTGGCTCAAAGCTGTGTGCTCCAACATGGGTATCTAATAAAACCGACATCATTTACATATAGTGAGCAAGCACTTCTGCTAGAGGCAGCGATATGCACAGAAATACAGTAATATTTGGCACTGAATCTGAGTTTACAAATAATTATCTCTCCTACCCCCTATGCTTTTTAAATCTTGAGCTAAATGACCAGAATACCTTTTTCTCAAACTATGTGACCTAAAAACTCTTGAGCATCAGCAGCCTGCCAGTGCTAATCAAAACTACATTAATAACACAACCCACTTAACTAGTCAGAAATCTCATGGACACATGAAGTTTCTCTCAGTTATATCTTAGAATAATAACTACAATTAAGATACTTCTTAATGCTGACAGTTAAGAAGGTGTTGCTAGGAAGATTTTAATTTTCTAAAATATTCAGTGCTTGCTTCCTTCTTTGCCTAACAGATTCTACCTCAACACAAGTACGCTTAACTTTTGAAAGGCATTAAAAATCAAGCATAAATACTGTTGCCAAAAACCTCATTAGGAAAGGCTGACAATCTTCTCGCTTAAGGGAAAGTTTAAAGAAGAACTGGTATACAGATAAAATGGGAAGGTGCTAAAATCAGGAAGTAACTTAAAAGTGAAACTTACAGTACAAGCATTAAATAAGTTAAACAAGGATGAAAAACTGAGCACAACTAATTTTTATGTATTCACCTCTAAAGAAAGATTTAAATACTCCCTAAAACAAATTCTATTGTGACCAGTAGGTATGACCGCTACCACTCATTCGCTGAAATGATTTTCAAATAGTCTTAAATACAAAGATGCATGTGACATTGTGAAACATACTAGATTCAGAGAATAAACCTCACTAGCTCATTCAATTCAACACTAGTTTTCTGGGGGTGTGCTAAGGTTAATCTTTTTTCTGTCGCAACTGGAAACATATCTGATACCAAGAAATAGGCTGCATGAACTTGTTCAACATTAGCACCTGAAGATAATTTGAAGTTGAACATGCTACTATTCCTGAAGCCTTCAAATTCTTTTTAATAACAAGTATTAAGGAAATCTTATTATTTATATAGTTAAGTAAGAAACATGTTTGTGTGGAAATTATAGAAGAGGGAGACAGCTATATATGCAACTGATATTTGTAAAGTACAACCTAGAAACTACTTCATTTTCCTATTCTCATTTCTAATAAACTCATACAGTTAATTTCTTGCAGAACTTCCTAATGTATCAATGCGGACAACTATGATATGCCTCACTTGTCAAGTTCAGGCAGAAACAGCTCTATTATTAGGTTTTGGGTTTGCTTATGGGTCTGTTCTCACCTGACATATGATTTTCTTATGGCTTCAATTTCCAAAGATTCTGGTTTGGCAATAAGGCAAAGCAAGAAAGAATGGGAACTAAGGCTCTTTCTTCAAAGGCATACATTTACTGGTGTTCAAGCCAACTTCATAATTGGCTCTTCTCCTTGGTCTCACATCTAGATGTGCGATCTGCCTCCCTCCCTTTTGTCAGTGAGGACAATGCTAGAGCTTTCCAAAAGCTGCTTTAACTCACTGAAGTTTTTAAAAAAATAAACCTCTCCTTCATTTTTGCTGAGTTACACACTCATCAAATGGAGCATGATCAGAGACTATGAAATGTGTCTGTCAACTAGAAAGCATGTTTTGTACTATGAGCACAATTCAGTATTAATGTGTCGAAAATACATCTAAAACTTCCCAAAATGAGTTACTGGAGAGCATCCCTGACAAATTCCCCATTCAGGAAACATAATATACCTTGTTGAGGCCAGATTTTTCACAGTTCTTACAAACAGGGGGCTGTGGCTATCAGTTTTCACAATCTCCTCTGCTGGCTCATCCCTCAGGATTTTCCCCACCTCACCTCCCTCACATCCTCCTCTAGGAGGTAGGGACAAGTATGTCTGGGATGGCTGTAACAAGCATCGCCTACATAGGAGTTCCAATATGCATTCTCTCTCACTTTAAAGTTTAAAATTACGAGGTGTTTAAAACCCATGTGATTTTTAGGAAGAAAACACAATGGAATCAAACCCAGGGAATTATAGGTCAAAGACCAGCTCTAATGCCCCAAGCTTTATGAGGCCAGTATCTATTAGCTGCACCTTGTATAAGAACTGTTTTCTGAGCACAGAATTATGCTGCATAGCAGTCATTGTAAATAATCTTTACCTCATGATTAATATGTCAACTTAGTATCAGGTTACAGTTCAAAATGGGGCTCCAAAAAGTAAACCACATGGGGAAAAAAATTATTACTATCACATTTTGATTTACATGTATGTGGCAAAGGAGTCCAGGATGATAACACCGGTATCACCAATTATTCCCTTGAAATTTCTGTGCTCATCAGTTAAAGGCATCTGATATTTCAAAATCAAAGCATACAGACAATCTATTGATGTGCTTCTGCATCAGATGATACGTTCACAAGCTGGTGAGATGTCAGGGAAAGGTTTTTTTTCTCTTGGAAAGGTCACCTATGATATCTGTTACCACTCAGATGACAAAAAAAGGAACTGATTGGATTATATTTTGCTGTTTACGGATGATGAATCTAAAGATTCTGAATCAGATCCTTGGAAGAAAGGCTGTCTGTGGTTAGGTTACCTTAGCTACTGTAATTGATACACTGCAACGGGTAATCTAAGAGGCATGCCACTTCTGCAAAATCCAAGATAACAGGTGACGGCAGAACCCAGGCTCCAAATGCTTAAAGTCAAAATCAATGACTACAGATAGTCAAGAACAAGAAGACATAAAACTGACAAATGCTGTACTGAAGATTACCTTCGTGCATATTTAACAAGGAAAGGCTTGGCTTTTTGTACGTCAAATTGAAGATATCCAGTTTCATAAGCCTAGAGAATGCATCTCTGAATAACAGGATTGTATCTAAATCCATTTTTCTACAACAATTTGTAGTTCTCTCTCTCTGTGCTGCTTGCCTCACGTTACTGACTTGCACAATAATCCATTCAAGGTAACGACACCACCTACAATTTTGCAAGACAGGCTACTGACAATGATGGGACAATGCAATTTGTTGGCATCTTGCTAAAGTAGTTTCCATTAGCCCTCTCTACTAGCAATAAAGGATGATGCTTTGTAATACCTAGGCAGCTCAAGTAATGCATGAGCATGTTCCTAGTAAGCAAAGGTTATCTTTCTATAGCTGTGACTGCAGCTATAGGGTTATCGCCATGTATGCTATGACACCTGTAACTACCTAAGTCTAGAAACATGAAAAAAATTCATCAGGTCTCTCTGCATCCTACCAAATAGCTAAATAACCTTAGCATAAACTTGTGATTTGCTGCTAGAACCCCACATATAAGCACAGTAAAAACGTTTAGATTAGTAGCCTCAGGGAATTTTTGCAAGATACAACACCTCCCTGATGGTGCTTGCAAGGATGGCTGATTTCTTCAACCAGTGAAAACAAATGGTGAAAAAAAAGAAAGAAAAAAATAAAGAAAAAGCCAAATGCTTTAATTAGAACTAAAGTCTAAAAATACACCTTGTCTCTGACCACACTGAGAGCAAGTAAGCACCTTTTGCAGTGGAACACCTGAAACAAGTGCCTTAATAATTGTCGTGGTTTGAACCCAGGACATTAAGTGTGCCTTATCTTTTATTTATGAAACATTAGAAGAAAACTTTCTTACTCTGTCCCAAGTAAAGACCATTTCTGATCTATCAGCAAGCCACCTGCATTTTAAATATCATTCTTACAGGCCAGTTGAAGCTAATCCTCTCCAAAAACAGCCCCAACCCACACCAAAGACAACAAAACCCAATTCCCACACCAACACACTTTGAGGCGTATTTTTCTCTAACTCTGGAACACTGTTCACGTTCTGTTCCCTATCTTCCTCAGCATTTAAACCTCCTTTCTGGAGGTTATGCAGGAGTCTCACTGGGAAATAAAAAAAAATAAACCAAACTGATATGTAAAAATCAACTCCTTATTTTTAAACTGCTGGTTACATATTATACACTGTTCCCTTCTTTTCCATAGTGGAAGTCCATTTTTGCCCATTATGCTCCAAAACCTCTTTCAGAGCCAGCATTATATATGATTATGTTATAGCCACTATTACATGCCACTCCATAAATAAAATCTTAATCAGGAACTTGTCTTCCCCTACTAAAAAATGAGTCAGAACGGATATGTGGATTCCGTATCACCCACCACTGCAGTCCGTGCAGAATAAGTAACATTCCTCGCTAAGAACTGCTACGCACAGAATGCGATGGATAAGTGAGAGAGGTTATTATCAAAAGTACTTTGATCTGTTTCTTGAAACTGAACAGGAGGAGTGATGACAGTGCAGAAATAACACCGGTGCAGGCAGACTCCATTTAAACGCTAAAGCTAAACCCTACCAGACAACATGAAAACTTAAACACATGAGCGATCCTGCGCTGCCTCTGCTGTATTTATAAGCAGTTGTCACCCACGAGCCCCACCGCTTTGCAGGGAATCCGCCCGCCCTCACCCCCAGAGCTGAGCTCCCGTCGAGTGCAGGGGCTCGTTCAGCAGCGCGGCCCTGCACAAACTGCCCCCGGCCAGGGAGCCCGCCGCTGCCGAGCCCGCGCTGCCGCCGCTCCGCCTCAGCGCCCGCGAGAACGCGGCCCCGGCTCCCAGGCGCTCACCTTATCCGAGTCCAGGTCGGGGTCGGCCTGGCAAAGGCGGAAGAGGAAGGACTTGGGGTCCCTGCAGAGCGTCTGCCGAGTGGTCAGGAAGCAGGTGCCCCCCACGTTCAGCCGCACCCACTTGCCCGGCACCGCGCCGGGCGGCGGCGCTGAGCTGCACCGGCGGCAGGGCCCGCCCGGGCCTCCCAGCCCGAGGCCGCCGACGGCAGGAACCGGGAAATCGCAGTGGTTCTCCGCCGCCATCCTCGCCGCCGACGGAAGGGCCCGCCCCAACCGCAGGTCCCCGAGCGCGCCTCCCCCGGAAGCGCCCCTTAACTCGTCACGGCCCGCGCCTGCGCCACAGAGGTCTCGTCCGCCGGGGCCGCCCGAGACGCCCCGACAGCTGGCCCCGGCACGAGAGCGCCGCCACTGGGCCGGAGGTATGGCCTCCCTCCCCGCCCCAGCCGCCCGCGAAAGGAAGAGGCGAGGCCGCGCCAGGACCCTACATGCCTTTATTACAGACTACCAAGCGTAAGTGAAATCCATCATCCAGTCACTAACTACACATCTACAGCACAGAGATCTGTCGAGAGGAGAATAAACAGTCATTAAATTATGAGATATGATTAAATCATCGACCAATAGAAAATTTATATAATAAAGCCAGAAAAAGGTGTAAAATATAGTTTACAATAATTATTCACATTCAAGGCTGTACATCAATACATACAACACCATGGCCCCGAACATGAATTCAATCCAAATAATTCATATATTAGAATTTAAATAACACAGACTGAACTAGAGGCCAACAAGAGCCAGCAAATAACCTTATAAGAATAAAAATACAAAAGTGTTTATCTTATATCATTGCATTATTTGCTTCTGTTTTCACGAGTTCTTGGAGGAGGGGAGATTGTTTTGTGGTGCCTGGTGAGGGGGGTGGGGGGTGGTTGGAGGGGGTGCTTGGGCTTTGGGGGGGGGGGGTGTTGTTGTTGTTTTGGGTTTTTTCTTTTTGGTAGGATTTTTGGCTTTCCCCCCTCCCCATTTTTTTTTCTTTTATCTGTACATCACAGTTACAGCTACAAACCAGGTAGAGAATATCACACACGTAACTGACTGCCACCAACCTGAAAACAGCTAGCATACAACTATCAAAACTGGTTATGGTTCCCGGTTCCTATTTTTTTTTCCTCCTTTGTCAGAGACAGTAATTGTAAGTTCTGCCACAATTTAGAAATTTGCCACATCCAATCAGTGTTAGCACATGGTCATAGGAAGCTTTGCCAAACAGCAACCTGTGAATCTACATTCACTGCCATGCTGACAGACAGACCAGGTCAACAGGTGCTTAAGAACCTCTCCGAGTTTGCTGTACAGAAGTTATATTTCTTCTAAGAAAGAGGAAACTTTGCTAAATGACCAGGCTTACTGGAAAGCATGCTATTTTGGATCAGAAAATTACCTGTCTGTAAGCTCCCTTGATCAGCTGACGGACAATCTGTGTCATGAAGCTTTGCAGGATCACTTCCATTTGACTAGTATTTGCATAAAATATTGGAGTAATTCAGCAAAATTTCAGGTATAAATACCACACCTATTCATGTAATTAGCTAGGAGAAAGTGAAAATGAAGTAATTGTGCTGACTTTCCTAAATCATTCAAAAGAAGCTATTAAATGTACAAGTGGGAAATCCTCAAGATTCTTCAAAGTTCCCATCACAGAATGTAGTGATATCAAGCACATTAAATTAAGCATCTTGAACTATGAAAATGCATTACAGTTGAAGTTTTTTTGTAGGCTTATATATAGCAGATACTTCACAACTAAATCACATCAGAAGGTGAAAAGTGGAGCACAGTACTATCCGATAATCTGATGCCTTCATCATCCCAGTGCTTAGCAAGCAAGATCTTAATAGGCAGTATCAGTCTGCTCACAATGCCTCAATATCATATTTGAAGCGAGTCTTCTTTAATACAAACCCTTCTCAAAACTGGACTTTCAAGGCCAGTGGTAATCAACTCATCTCTCCAGTTTATCAAAGTAGTTTTAAACTTCCTGTGACTGGGCTGGACACCAAGTATAACAGAGATTCAAAAATCCTCTCTAGCAGTAGTACTTCACCCTTTCTTTAGTTCCACCCCACAGAAAACAGACGCAATAAACACCTTCCTGAAGTTCAAATTCCAAACAAAATAAAATTGCAATATTACTGACCAGATTCTCTGCAAATGATTGGCAAATGCTGCAAACATAAAAGATGGAATCAACTAGATTGGGTTTTCCGTAGGTTCGCATTAAGGAGTCCAAGAAGGGTCTTTAAGTGCCTAACAACCCTTTTTGTGCTTTGAAAGATCTCGGACAAAGAATAGAGAAATTAACTGGCTCATCTGCAGCTTGAAGAACCTTCCTTGTACATTTCATTCCATGAACTCCCATGAACCACAGGAGTGGTCCTCAGGACAAAGATCTGAAGCTACCCCACTTCAGGTACGAGCATTTAAAACAGGAACCAGCCCTTCATGGTAAGCAGCACCTGCCAACACACCTTTAAGTGGACAAAGTGGTGAAATATACTTAAATCCACATGATTTCTTTATCTTGCCTCTTTATTCTTCTGCCATCTTTCAAAACCATAGATTTCACTTACAGTCCAAGAAAGACAAAAACCTCTCTCAGAAAAGTTCTAGTACCTTCCCAAAAAAGCAGCAGCTAAGGAAGACTTGGTTTAGAACACTTTAGTTCTAAGGGGGAGGGATGCCTATAAGAGATGCTCATAATTTCCTAATGACAGCATTAGCAAAAGAAAAAAGGAATACTAGAATGCAGATATCAGCCTTCCAGACACCTTCATGACAGCTTACTGCTATTAAGATTTCTTTGGCTGAAAGCTTTTGGTGGGCACGACAGAAGTCTACTGAGAGAGGATTTTCAAGGTGTGAAAAAGCAGAGTGACTATTTTATGGCAAAATGACTACAAGTCTAAATATGACAGAAAAGATGTTTTAGCATTCCTAGATTTCCACCTAGTGAACAAACCGGTGGAGATTACTCCACCTCTTACTGAAGCCACGGTGCTCACTATTAGCAGAACAACTTTGCCAGACTTTTTATGTGAGGCCAGGTTTTGTCATAGCAAAACAGCAGTGCCACCACGAATTTCCAGCACTGCCACATTCTCCTGTATAAAGTTGAGAATACATTTACATCTCTACACCAAAGACTAAACCAAGAGCAGTAGGGTAGCCTCCAGTGGACCCAACATAAAAATGGACCCTGACAGCCAGAGAGCAAATGCAACAAACTTACAATTCATGTCATCTTGGTTAGAATGGTCCATATAGGATTAATGTAGGCACAGACAGAAGTGCTGTGCTGTCTGTATTTTAGCCACAAGGAGCGTACCCTGTGTATGATGAAATTTCTGATGATGCAGATGGAACAGAATTCTTGCTCATCTCAGCCATTTACAGGACACCTCAGCTCCCTTAATACCAGGCACTGCAGGCCAGTGATTTACTTTTGTCAAATTTGCATACATAGGGGGATAACAGAAGACTACAAGAATGCATTTCCTCCAAAAGAAAAGGCAAATGCACTCCCTCCTTTAAGGAATGAAAGATATTGAAAAAGCTGAACTGTCATCAAGTTCAAACACATAACAGTTTAAGAGAGAAATAATAAATCTCCTTTACCCCGTGCAACAACAAAACATCCAACATTCATGTGTTCTCTGAGAAATCCTGATAAACCACTGCTTTTAAAATACTGCCTCTAAAACAGCAGCCCATGAGTTTTTCCAACATTGCAATGGAACATTTTTTCTTTGGTGGAAGGAAAAACACCATAGTAAGAGACCTCAAAATGCAAAGAGATAGTATGTGTAGAAGAAGAATAAATAGGTGTGATGTTTATACTGCTTTTAAAAAAAGGAAGGAATGCCTTTGTCCAAACCTAGGTCATTCCTCTTTGCAAGGTTCAGGAACACAGGCATGCCGAAAATGCCATTAGGGAAGTTGTTTTCAGCACATAGAAAGTTATGTCTTTGCAACATTACAAGAAATGTCTGACCACAAAAAAACCTTAATTTGAAGAGGATAAAGCGGACTGATACGCAAAATAATTTAATTTTATAGATATGCCTTAAGTACCATATATTTTCCCCTTTGCATCAATATTTTCCTTTGAATTTTTAACCAGATTATTATATGGATCTAATGTTTCAATTGCTTATATTTTTTTCAGAGTTGCTAAATACTTGGCCAAGGACCAAAAATAGTATTATTTGTACATCTCATTACACAATGAGTCCAAAAAAGTCAAGTAATCAATTGTACAATGCTTTCACACGTCCTTCTCTACCCAGGTAAATAGGGTGGCCCCGCTAAAATGCACAGTACATGCACACCATGGAAAGAAAGCGTCTAGCCCTTACCTCCTGAAAAGGTGAAAAACTATTTACTACTTCAATAGCAACCCTTGCCCCCCAATACTAACTAGTTAATCTTTCAGTTAGCATTAGTTGAAAGCATGCTGGTAAGTTTGTTCTCCCTTGATTAAACACATGATTCATATTAAAATTTAAATTTAACCTTTAAAATCTTCTATGCTTCAGACGCCAATATTTCAATTTTAGAAAACTCCCAGTGCCATGTTCAGCATTTTACTCTCTTAAAACCTGTATCATTGGAGCCTGTCTGCCAGGCACATACATCTGATTCATTCACATAATTACTAAGTACCACATAAATCCTGCAACCAGAACTATGTTAGCAATTACACAAGGGTGTGACTGACCTGGCTACAAATGCCATATACCAATAAGCTGGGGGACTGTGAGGAAAGGAAGAGAAAACAAAGGGGTGGTGCTTAGGAGAGGCATATAAAAGCTCCCTGATGAAATACAGTTTAATGATAATCTGAAAGTCACAGACAACTCCAGCCCCATAAAACGCAAGGCTGGTACGTGATTCGGCGTGTGTGCGTGTGGATTGGTTTTAACTCATCTTACGTGAAGCTGGAATGCAAGGTCTATCCACTAGTCTGCAGCAGAAGTTGAGCTGAAGTGCACAAAAGCAAGATCTTCACTGCAATGATATGCATGTGGAAGCCTCAACAGAAGCACAATGAGCAAGCAAAGTGACCCTGAATTCCATTAGGTTTTTGCTTTTCTTTTTTCTTAAAAAAAAAAAACAAAACCCAAAAACAACAACAAAAAAAATCCAAAAACCAAACAAGAACCAAAACGAAAAAAAAAAGAAACCACACACACACAAGAAAAAAAAAAAAAAACAACCCAAAAACAAACCAACCAAACCCAAAACCAACAAC